GGAAAAGCCCTGGATGTGCTGGGAAAGGCTCTGGATGTGCTGGGAAAGGCTCTGGATGTGCTGGGAAAGGCTCTGGATGTGCTGGGCAGTGAGGGAGGTAACGGGCATCTGGGTTGGGGTCTGGATCTGGATCTGGGTCTGGGGTCTGGATTTGGGTCTGAGAACTGGGTCTGGGGTCCCAACCCCCCCCCGAGGTGTCCGTGGGTGCCCCCCCAGCTCAGCCACTCACAGGAGCGTCCTCTGGTGCCCAGGGGAGGGAAGGTCGGAGGATTTTTCCTGCTGGATCCTGGAGAGGCTGAAAGGCTCCAGGAATTCCTGGCAGAGGAACAGCAGCACTCGGAGCGCTCCAGGCTGGAGGAAGGAGCTGTGGGATCAGCTTTGTCCTGTTCAGCAGCCACGTCACAATTCCACAGAATTCCAGAATCGCTGAGGTTGGAAAAGCCCTCCAAGATCATCAGTTTGACCTCTGACCCGTCCCCACCTCGTCCCCCAGCCCAGAACACCTCCAGGGATGGGGACTCCCCACCTCCCTGGGCAGCCCCTTCTGACACCTGACAGCCCTTCCCAGGGAGAAATTCCTCCTGAACTCCTTTCCCTGAATTTCCTTTCCCTTTCCCAGGCCTAAAGCTATTCCAACAAACTTCTGAGGCCCTTTGCACCTTCGGAAAAATTAATTTGCTCCCTGATAAATTCCAGATTTCGGATTAAAATATCCACAAGAATCCATCACGAGCAAATGGAGCTCGGAAAAATCCTGGAGGATCAGGAAGGGGGACGAGATAATCCAAGATCCTTGTGCCCCTTTGTGAGTTGGGGGGCACAAAGCAAAGGTTTAATTAACTTCCTCACAAGTATCATTAACACATGTATTAAAACTGCCTCAGAACAAGAAAAGGATCCTCCAAAGCCTTGTTTCGAGGCGAGATATTAATTCCCAATTTGAATTGTGGGATTATTCAAATACAGGGCCTGTTAGATATTAAAGGCATTGCTGCTGCTTTGCCACAGGGAGCCTCGGAATCCAATTATCTCCGAAGAAATATGCTAAATATGCTCATTAACATGTAAAAAAGTGGAAACCTGTATTAGGGGAAAGCTGATGTTTTACACTTCTTAATGTCACAGAGAATTAGGGACAAAGGAAGTCGCAGCAGAGAGAACTTGAAATGCCTGAGCAGCAAAAGAAAATAAAGGATTTTATCCCAATTAGCTTAATTCCTGATAATGACACAGATGGAAGGATAAAACCCCCCTGAAAAATGGGCTCCATCCAGCCCTGGGAAAGTTTAGGAATCCTGCTCCGGGTGTGGAACGAGGCAGGAAGAAAAGCCTGAGACTGGGGGGGGAAATGCTCTCAGCCCTCGGCAAAAGGGAGGAGGAAACAACAGGGGGAAGAGGCAAAGGAA